CAAAGTCTTGCGCCTGCCACAAAATCTGCACTCCAAGCGCCACAAAGTACTACACCTACCACGAAATCTGCACTTCAAGGCCCACAAAAAGTCCTGCGCCTGCCACAAACTCTGCACTCCAAGGCCCACAAAGTCCTGCACCGCAATGCACCCATTAGAAATAGACTGGTCCACCACATCTTTTTCCTGAGGAGATTCCCATCCAGGCACCTGCCGATCACTACTACTCCTACTACTCCTCCTCCTGCTGCTGCTGCGCTGCTGCTGGTGCTACTGCTACTACTACTACTACTACCCCTACCACCCTCAGTGGGCTAGAATATTTTTTTTTTTGATTCCCTTTTTATTTTTTTATTGATCCCCGTTGAATATTTTTTTTGATTCTATTTTTATTTTTTTTTTGATCCCTTACCCATGTTAAAGCCAATTCAGGCTCCAAGTTCGACCGTATTGTGGCCTTGCCCCCGCTTGGCTAGTCCACATTACATCATGTCAAGGCTAGCTTGATCGCTTGGTGACCAGGTGTTGAGGCTACGTTGGTTATTTTTTGGGGGCTGTTTGGGTTGTTGCAGAAGTGTCGCAACGAAACCCAAAAAATAATCCAAAAATGTACCTCCAAAACGCTCTCCCTCATGGCCCTCGAGGCGTAAGACATTTTTCCCCGAAAAACAAAAGGCCCCCCCCTAGCAGAGCTCTGAACTGATTACGATGTGATGATGACGATGATTCCAGCTTGACCCGCCCCTAACACGCCCTGCACCGCAAGCGGTGTGGGCGGATTTCACCCCAAATCCAACAAATTTTGCAGATGACACCCTTGAATAAAGACACTGTCATGCTTCATTGAACCGTTCCGCAGCATGTTGCTTGTCCTCTCTCTCTCTCTCTCTCGGTCTTTGTCCGTGGCTCTTGAGGATCTGCTTTGTGAAGACCGAGAAGCGGACGTACAGCATCAGGTGAGCTTGGACATGTTTGTGATAGCGATGGCCTCCAACCCAATAGCGGACATGTCTCTGATAGCTTTGAATACTAGTAGCGTCCTTGTTCCTAGTAGCGATGCCCTTGTTACTAGTAGCTAGAAGCTACTAGTAGTAATGCCAGGAGCTAATAGTAGCGTCCTTTGTCTACACATACAGAGGCGACAAATTCTTGCAAATGGATCACTCAGACTGCTTTGCTGCGGAACGCAGCAGCGCCAGCACCGGCACCAGCGCCGGTGGCCCGGGCTTTCGCATCGTTCACGAAAAGAACCGTAGAAAGCATTGCGGGCCAATGACTTTTGGGCCTTTTTGGCCGCAACTAACTAAGGTCAGCGGATATGGCTGAAGTGAAGCGTGCTGGAGAGGTGCGCTTTGGACATGGCCATGCACATACATTATCCACTTGATTCAATGAGGAACAGCAGCAGGCTCGGGTAGCAAGAGGTTTGGGAACACCTATGGAACTTCTGGCCTGATGAAGGAGGCTGCAGAATCCTTAGCCGAAGCTGCACTCTTGCGAGCTCAACGTCATGCAAGGGAGGCTGTACTGCGATCGTCCTTTTCGCTGCAGTCGGATACCTTTGAGCTTATGTTTGACAGGCCAAGCAATCAGCATGTTCTGCTGCAGGCCAAGCAATCAGCCGCACTGGCAAGATACGCCTATGCCCCTGGCTCAGACACATTAAAGGCTGCATTTTGAGCGAAGACTTTGCCGGATGGCATTTACAAGAACACATTTCAGCCGTGGATTTTGTGCACTATTGAAGAACTCCAAGCCATTTTTTGGTAAGGGCTGCATAAAACATTGCCTTTTGGATCCTTTTGAGTCTTCTTCCCGTTTCGGAAGGAGAAACTGACGAAGAGCCGAGACATGGCCGCGGAAGCAGCCGGACAGGCTGCCTTGGAGGAGCGCAGTTTCAAGACCTCGACAGCCCCTAGTAGCTTCCTTGCTCCTAGTAGCGATGCCAGGAGCCCCTAGTAGCGTCCTTTGCTCCTAGTAGTAAGGCCAGGAGCCCCTAGTAGCATGAATCGGTGTGAATTGTAAAGAGACCAAGACAGGATATTAATTTTCCCCAAACGGTGTGGTCACACTAGGGGTTCTTACGGTAGTTGTGAAGCACCGATGCCGGTGTCTAATCGAGGTGTTGCACCAGGGCGTTTGGCTAATTCGCTGCTATTTACAGTGCATTCATGCCTCTCGAAATCCTCGAAGTGCATTTCGACTGCGCAGGCTCGCAAAATCTGCTTGGGCGCGGCGGGTGCTTATCGCGATTGCACTCTCGTTGTGGTGCCGCGCGCATTTTCGGACATGGTTGTCACTTTTCGTGGCAGGCACAAGGAAAGCCTCGTGTTTTGGTGGTCCAAAGTCGACTTCTCGTGACAGGTCCAAGGGTTCGGAGCGGCTTTACTTCGAATACTTAGCTTGGACCGCTGCCGGGCTTGGACGCGCTCTGTGCTCAGTCTTCTTCAAGGAAGCTCCCTAGTGGACGTCGCTGGGCGAGTGGGATCGAGAAAGCGCCGAGCCCGCGACCACCGCGTCGAATCCGCGACCAGACCCCGATCAGCCAGGTAGTTCCGGATCAGCGACCAGTTAGGGCGAATCAGCGACCAGTCTCACGCCCAGTCATATTTGGTAGCAGCATTCGTTAATCAAGATTAACTAAGCATTGCGCCTGCCACGAAAGCGGCGCGTGTATGTCGACATAGTAGTTCTCATGCAACCGCCCAATCGAAAGAGTCTGCTTTGTTAGGGCATGAGCTTTCTCACGGCGACCAGTGCTTTTGGGAACGCGCTTCTTTTCACAGATGCTTGCGGTGTTTCGGTGTTAGTCTTCGCCGGCCGTCCGATTCGCTGGCGAGTCACTCCAACATCCAAAATGGATGATATGAGTAGGCAACACCCAGGAAGATTGAAGATAGATGCACAGGTGGAAGGTTGAGGTAAACAACAATGCTTATATACATGTTTTTGCATGGCGGCTAAGATTTGCAAGTTGCAAGAACTCAGGTGCGGTCTCCTGTTTGGGACTACTCCTCCTGTGGGTGATGAGTCACATCTTGTAACCTAGCAAAGTGTCCTTGTCACACCTGTTCGTGGCTGCAAACACTCATAAGGGCAGTTGTTAGGTGCCCCAGTAAAGTGCCTTTTGAAGCCTCAAACAACCTTCAGAAGGGCAGTTGACGATAGGTGACCCTCAAAACGAAAGCGTCATTTTGTTCACCCCTCTTCAATGCATCAACAAGATGATACTAGAGGGCGCGTGCAGGGAAGGCGGCCCAGCAAGAGGGGTCAAAGCTTACAAGGGCGAATGTCCTTTTCACTCCGACCCACAAGCTACCCTTCTCACACCTTTTCCAATGCGCCAACAACACATCCAAGGGGGGGGAAAACAGAGTCAGGACCTGTGAGTCAGGGAACCTGAACGACAGAGTCAGGAAACCTGGACACTGATCGAGGAAACAACAACAATAAGAAAGTGTAAAGAAATACAGATGAGGAGGAGTAGGATAAGAGTTTGTGTCGAAGACGAAAGGACATCTTCGTAGTTGGGTGATGAGAAAAGCTGCGTTTTATCAATGATGCCAAAAGGAAAAAGAAGGAGCAGAAAGAACGTGTTTGTGGCAGGGCCAACGAAATATGATTGTTTTCTTTCTATTTTTGACATACTTTAAGACTTATATAAAAGGTTGAAGGGCAGACATCTTGGACGGGTTCAAGAGGTTGAGAGGCTGCTTCTACATCATTTTTTACCGTGTATAAGTGAGATGGTTTGGTCTCTCTCTCTCTCTCTCTTGATTCTTTTTTTGTTTTTTGTTTTTGGCTTGACTTCTTTAGGGTTTGTTTTGGGTTTGGTTGAGGGCTTTGGGTTTGCTTTCAGGCTTGACTTCTTTAGGGTTTGTTTGGGCAGGGCTTGGCTTCTTTGGGGCTTGTTTGGGCTTGGCTTAGGGTTTGACTTTTTTAGGGCTTGCTTCGGATTGGTTTAGGGTTTGACTTCTTTTGGGTTTGTTTGGGTTTGGTTTAGGGCTTGACCCTTTAAGGGCTTGCTTGGGTTTGGTGTAGGGCATGATTTCTTTAGGGTTTGTTTGGGCTTGCTTCAATTGAGTAGAATTTTGGGTTCCGCGCTCGCGCCCACAGTCTCCAATCCAGTCAGTCTCCGATCTGGATTGGAATTTTGTTTGGTTTCCGCGCGGATGGTGTCAGATTCAGCCGGTCTCCAACCTGGAGTTGAATTTTCGTCGGCGCAGTTTCGTTGGCCCGTTTCTGGTCTCCGATCTCGTTTGCCTGGTCTCCGATTCCCATGTTTCTGGTCCCCAATCCAGTCTTTCTGGTCTCTGACTCCTGGTCTCCGATTCGACCGCCGCCCTGCTGAGTAGGGTCTTAGTTGAGAACCCTTCGCACGATTGATTTGGTTCCATTAGGTTCCTACATTTCTGAGGGACACGTTTATAACTTTATACCTATGGCGCATATATAGCTCTGAACCAGATGCTTCGGCACTTGTTTAAAAAATATTTGGCCGGTTGTTTCTATTGCAGGACGTTATCATAGATGCTCGAAAAGATGCAGCTGAAGCAGTGAAAATCAGAGAAGGCTTGCATCTCATGCGACCCACACGATTTAACCTGCGCCTAAGAGCTGTAGCCTGGAAAACCTTTGAAGGCTGGGAAGATCAGGCGCGTGCACTTGCTGCCCACAAGGCAGTTGCATGGCCCCCAGATGACAGAAAAGACAAATGACTTTGATGAACAAAGCCTTGACTTTGAAAGGTCGCTGCTTCAGTCTACAAAAAGGCAAAATTGCGAGATTTGAAGGTGGCAGAGGCTCCGCTTGAGAGTAGACCAAAGCTCCGTATTTTGAAAACAAAAGCTGAAGAAGACTTAAGCTCTGACTCAAAACTTACATTCATCTCCTTTGCCTCATCATCGGTATCCCATGCAGGGTTCTTGGCGCCAAACAGCTGGTCTCGTCCATTTTGTTCGATTGGACCCTTCTTATCAATTCTCATTCACTGTTCACACCTTTTCACCATGTTCTATTCCCATCAGATTTCCATTTTGTCTGTAGTGTATGCAGCTACACTTCACCAGGCTTGGGAGAAGCAGGCGACTGACCTCGCGCAAACAAGTCGGCAGTACGAGGAGTCCTCTTCAAGCATGGCAGAGCCATGCTCAACAGCTTAGTGCGAGATGACTATCCTTCGAATTGATATTGATATGGTTTTGATAGACCTACTGTATATTCCCATTCGAGCAACGCCAGTGCGAAACAAGCCAAAAAAGACTTTTTGTTCTTCAGCAGATAGCTAAGTTTCCTAAACATCTAGGAACCAAATGAATAGTGCGAGCGTGAGCTATCCTGCGTCCATATGTAGCGAGCTAGTAGGTACTAGCTACCTCTTCTACTAGCTACCTACCTCTACTAGCGGCCTACCCCCCCGGCCTTCCCACCGAGTCCGCAGACAGTTTAATTTGTTTGACTGCAGGAGTATGCTGTGCAGCAGGAGATGAAGTCGGGCTCTAAGTCGAGTTATGTGGCAAAGGGAGTGCAAAGTTCTTGTTTGCTCCAGATTTAACCTCCAGCCACAACTTTTGGAGAAGACTTCGTCAAGTCTGGGAATTCTAAATTGCGGCATGGCTCAATAGTTTCAGCGTTGCTTCCTGATTTCTGTGAGGGAGAAGAAGATAAAAGCGGAGGTGCGAAAGGCCAGCCAGAAGATCCATCCAAGAACGTTAAGTGAGTTGAATCAAACGGTAAGATGCAAAGATGTGCTGCTGAAGCAATCTGAAACACTCAAACACGCTTTGCTAGTGACCTTTGAACTGCATTTGCTTGTCGTTCTTTGCACTTTGCAAAGGGAGACACTTCACGACGTTCTGAACTCCAAGAAGTTGAGGACTGCGCTGCAAGCAGACTTTCTTTTTGTCGTTATTTTTCCGACCTTGGATCGGCACCCCGTCAGGTGGAGGTGAACGAAGGTGTTGACGCTGCACACCGATATGAGGAAGAGGCAGACGTTTGGAGACGAAGCATTCACGGGAAATTGCTTGAGGCAAAGGAAATGCCAGTGTGATGCCTTGGTGCAGGCCCAAGCAGCTCGCAAAGAAGCTGAAGGCATCCGTCGGGAGCCCAAACAAACCTTTGGCAGAAAAACTGATAAGGGGAGCGCCTAGTAGCGTCCTTTGCTCCTAGTAGTAAGGCCAGGAGCCCCTAGTAGCGGCGTCCTTGCTCCTAGTAGCGATGCCTTTGCTCCTAGAAGCTTCTTGCTCCTAGTAAGGAAGAAAAGAATCTTACTTCGCCTTGTTGCAAGGTTTGATTGCCTCTGAGGTGCCAATTCCTCTTGGTACGACCAAGCTGAAAAGGCTGCTGCAGCTCACACCTTGCAGCTTGGCTTTTCCTTTACCAAAGATTTGAGTGTATCACAAAAGCTGCTTGGTCCTGCTTGGATTTATCACACCAGCTTTGAAGAATGAACCTTGGCCCAAGACGTGGACCACTTTTTTGAAAACTCTCGTTTTCAAAAGCCTTTCGTCAGAAGCACTCCACATTGCAGACTCTTTTGATTTAGCAGAGCTTGGCGAAAGAGTTGCTGATAGAGGATCTTGACGTCACTAGAGCTCTGACACTTGTGGTGCGAAAGCCTTTTTCACCCAGCATGCAAATCTTGTGTACAAGTAACAGTATGCCGCCTGACCACATTTCCACTTCTGTAGTCCCAGGCCTACTCTTTGAGTATTCATAGCGAGTCTTGGTACGGCATCGGGGTTGGCTCGGTTGCTTCAACTCTGAGGTATGCTGAGCTTCCCAAGGGTGTGATCCCTCCGCCTTTGCCTCCACTTCCCTAGACGGCAAAAATGCCAGTGGCACTGAGAAGTTCAAAAAGCAAACTCAGCCATTTCTAGCCAGTTGCTTTGAATTGTTTGTTTGACTGCAGAAAATCTTCCAAAGTGTGGCCTTTGGCTCATTTCAGCTTTTCAACATGTTAGAGAGTCCATTTTTTGTGGCGTTTGATGCAACAAAGTTGAAGCTATCCAAAGCAGCGGGACACCACTTTAAGGAGATCATCTCACATTTCAGAAACAGACAAAGAACACACCGCAGAATCACGTGTGATCACGATCTGGTACACCGGGTATAAACCAATCAGTATTGTAACTACCACCAGACCTAGCCACGAGCATGTCATGGCCCTTGGTTCGAGCCTCTTTGGATGATTTGCTGCGGGAGTGGCTCGGAGACGCAAAAACAGGAAAACACACATCCTACGTGTTTGAATGCAAGAAGCAGCTCCGATGTTTGTTGATGGATCGTCCAGTGCAGTTACTATTTTGTCAAGTTTGAGAGATGTCAATTAGGATGTGAGACCTTCCCCCCCCGCGAGAGAGAGAGAGAGAGAGAGAGCGCGCGCGGGCTGTGAGCGGGCTGTGTGCAAAAGGCACCGCGAAGCCACTGCGGCCCTGCGCCAACGCCTAGCAGAGGAGGCGCAAAGACTTTTTGTGGGACGACTCTTTTTGCCTAAGTTCTTCTTTCGAACGTTTCTCTTGAACAAGTGAAGAATTGTTTTTAAGAATTTTGAATACCTCGTCCTACTCCTCACACTTTGCGAATCGGAAGAAGAACCTTTCTTTGAGAAGACTGGTTTTCGTCGCGGGATGCAAGCCAATCTCAACGAATTGGTTTTCGTCCTTGAGGCCCTCGATGACGTGTGGCTCTTGCGATACGTTTTGAGCTTCCGGGACTGGCTTTGCTTTTGGATTGGCGTTGCTGGAAACACCAAGAGATGGACATAGACAGATACAAAGGAGGCTAGCAATGGCAAGCAAGCACAGTGAGACAGGAACCCAGTATAGAACTTTGTTATACTTTGTTCTAAGGACTATTCTAGTGTTCGTTGGGCAAGAGAATCCCAGTGCCGTGCATCAACGTGAGTATTTGGACTCGACGTCCACCCAAACTTGGCCTCAAAAACAACCTGTTCAACGGGAAGTCTCCACCAGATCCGCACAAGAGCCACAATATGTCCAAATCATACGAAAGGCCAAGCTGCTTCATCGCATGTATTTGGTGTATTGCCCAAGGTTGGTCTTCCAAGCCGGGTATGAAAGATATCGATATCTCCGTGTGCACAAGTGATCTTTCAGGTGATCCCACAAGTTGGTCAGGTTATGTTCTTCGGTTGATGACGGGAATGACCTTTCTAGATCTGTCCGTTTCAGGATGATCTGCCTGGAGCGGCTCAAGCAGCTAGAGCAGCCCTTTCTTGGCGACGGGAGAAGCGAACAGTTTCACTTGACAAGTTGAACTGCAAAACATGTTACACTTGACAAGTGAATAGTAACAAGAAGCTAGTAGAAACAAGTGCCACGCTTCTAGTAACAGGTGCCTTAACTACTAGTAACAAGAAGCTAGTTTGTTGAATTGAAATTGTGACCTGAGCAGCTCTTTGTAACTTGCAGCCGTGAAACGGCGTCTAGGAGAATTCTGGCATTGTGGAAGCTGCCAAATTACGTCAAGCGACTTGGTCCATAAGAGGCAACTGTCCTACTAGAGGAAGCAGATTACAAATCAAAACTGCAAAGAGGACACAGGAATTCTTGACTTTAGGATTGCGCCACATATTTTCGACTTCAGGGTGAGCCTGTGCAAGTCACGAGGTTAGCAACATTGTTTGCAGCTGCGCATAGACTGTTCGGCCCTCCGATGTTATGCTTGGAAGGGCATCACTGCTACGGCAGTCCTTGCACGAAACATTCCGAATGCTGACTCTGGTGCTGAGGAAGTTGTGAAGGAAAACGAATGGTTGCATGTTGCCTGTGAATAGGGTGTCTTATCTTGATCAGCTTTCTTTTGAAGGCTTCCACTTCCCTCATCCTTAGCTTGTTGTGTTGCAAGTGTTGTGCAAGGATGACACAAGACAAATGAACGCTTGGTTGCTGACTTTGATGATGAGTCAGCAAAAGGATCGATAGGTCTGAGTATTCTGTACGAATGTTGTTTTAACTTCTTTCTTCTTCCTCTCAATTTCTTTCTTTTCTGCAAGAGTTCAGAGGCAAGGCAAAACACGTGGTGACAGTATTTAGACGGTTGGTTGTGTGCTGGATAGATGAGTCGCTTAATTTTCAATCCTTTTTGGAGTCTTCAGTTGGCGCAAATGTTGCACAAGGATGACAGAATACAATTATGAACGCTTGGTTGCTGACTTCAGTGATGAGTCAGCAAAAGGATCGATAGGTCTGAGTGATTTGGGTTCATCCATTGTTTGTTTGGTTTTATCCTGCTCTGCCATTTGCCTGCTGCAGGGCTTCTTCTGCACCAGGTCAGATGCAGTGCCACATTGTCTTCAGTGCAATGTACTGACTGTAGCTTCCACAAAATGTGGCTGCAGTTATCGCTTTCTGCATTACATCAGTTGTAATTCCTGACGCTTCGCGCCGACCGCCGCCCACACCTTTTTTTTCGGTCGTCTGGGGAAAGACTGCTGGAGTGGACAGGGGAGGTAGGGAGTGGTGTCCAAAGAGATGGCTTGTTTGCCGCAGCGTCTATGGCCATGTTGCGGCTGAGTTACGCACAAGTTCCGTCGTTTGGTGGCCATGTTAAAGCCAATTCAGGCTCCAAGTTCGACCGTTTTGTGGCCTTGCCCCCGCTTGGCTAGTCCACATTACATCATGTCAAGGCTAGCTTGATCGTTTGGTGACCCTGTGTTGAGGCTACGTTTGTTTTTTTT